GATAACATGAGCATGATGCTTATGATTATGGTTTGTTGATGGTAGAAATCACATAAATTTTTAGTAAACCCCCCAAAGTTTAGAGCAATGAACAACATAAACATGGTGCTTATGTTATGGTTTACTGGGCACTAAATGACTTCCAAAAGTACTTGAAACTAACTGAGAAACGACTTTTAAAAATAGACTGAAGCATAAATGACATCTAAGAAAGAAATGAGCTAACATAAAGAGATGTAGAGTTTAATGCCAATTACTCTAATTGACTTAAATTTATATAAAAGAAAAAAAAAATTAGAGTCCCTAAAACTGTTGGCTTTTACCCGTTTATATTATTTTCCCAACTTGTCTTGTAGTCAAAGTGGGAGTGTTATCTGGTTTATGAGCAATTAATCACTCTGTCAATGCCCTTCGTATCAGAGGGGAATTAATTAATTGGCATTCTTATTTATTTGAGGTTCCTTTTCCTTACTTTTTTTTATGGAAAAAAAAAAAATCTCCAAAAGATGACCTAGAGTTTGAATTATCCCTTGGCTCTGGTCCTTTTATTTTTTTTTACTTTGGAAAAGAAAATCCCTTTGCTTTTGTCATTTAAAGTGATGTAAATGGACTTGAGTATATGTAATTGGAAGGTTTTGTTAATATTGTGGAATTCATAGTCTAGTTGTCATATTGTAGTGGAGTTGGAGACTGAAATAAGAACACATATCATCCTTTACTTGCACTTAATAATCTGATTACATTTTCTACATAAATGCATCATCCTTCAATGTGACCATTAAAGGTTTGACATTATGCCACTTCTTTGCTATACTTTGTACTTCATTTGTAGCTCGTGTCGATGTGCTATTGAAAACTCAGGTTGAAGCCATACATTATTTGACAATTTTATGAATTAATTGAGTTAATTCATAAATTACTATCAGTAATTGATTTATGTATATTTTCAAAGTTAAGCTGAAGTGATCAAAACATAAACTAAAGATTCTTCTAAGGTGGAGTTATGTAGGTGCCATATGGATGTAATTGCACATCTAGCAACTCTGTAAATAATACTGATCAGGTTTCTCACTGTTTCAAATTTCTGGTGCATTCAAAGTCGAGACCATATTAGTAAAGCAATCCGTTGTCATCTAGTTCGGTTAGATGTCTGGGTTTTAGCCAGGTTTCCGGGGTTCAAATCCCGGCAACAGATTTTTCGTTTTCCATATATGAATATATTATGTTAAATCTTGTGAATTATGTTTAGGTTGTGGGCAGTTCATTTCAAGTTACGCACGTGGTCCAACTATTTATCTTTTTGGTTTTGATTGGAAGCATGAATGTGCACCAATGTTTTGTGGAGTTTTTCGTAGTTTCTAAGTTTCAGGGCTATGTTGCTATATATCCTGTTTTTGCTTGTGATTTTGCGGACTTCTTGTCTGCTCTTGTATATGTATTGTTTCTTTGCAATAAAATTTGTTTCTTCTTTAAATCTTAAAAAAAAAAAAAAAAAAAAAAAAAAACATGTGCACTAATGCTTTTTTTTCCTACTAATTATTTGGGTTTATATTACAGAGGTGGAAAAAGATTAGGGGGAACAATGACTTGAATGTTGGAGGCAGAAGTAAACTTTCAGAAGCACAGTTGGCAGCTCGTCATTCATTGTCCATAGCCCTGAATATGCCTAACATAACAGCTAATACAATTGGCACGGGTGATTTTCTCTCCCATCTATACTGTTCTTAGATTACAGGAAAGTACATATAAATCTTATGTTGCTTCCAGAAATCCTGCAGACTTTCAATGGACCCTCGAGTTCCATCTGAACTTCTTTTTTTCCCAATAGCAAGTCCTGTTAGAGTCAAGGGAAAAATGTAAACATTTTATTATTACCTCATGGTATACTACAGGCCTTTAGAAAGTCATATAATATTATAGAACTTCCTCGTCTTTCTTAATGCCAACGAAGACTATGTTTTTACTTTTGGATTATGGATGTGCATAATCTGTTGAGCAGTTTCAATATTTTAGCTGCTGCATTATCTATTGATCACTGTCCTATTGTTGGGATTGTCATCAACCCCCTTTTTCGAAGTCTTGGCTTTTCCGTGGATGCATCATGCATCGCCTCTTTCATTAAGGGGTGACTTTTGGCATCTTATTTACTGAAACAATTGTGAACGTTTTGATTGGTTTCTTATCTCTATGATTTTAATTGACATTTCTGTGTAATTTATTTAGTAGGATGTCAATCTATAACTAACAGTATTCATGTAAACAGCTGGGACAAGTACACACAGCATGCTTGCTGGAACAAATGCAACTAGTAACTCTCTGCATTTTACTACTGCTGAAGCTAAACCGCTGTCCCAAAAAGGCCTTGACCCAGTGAAAGCTGAAGCAAAACCGCAGTCCCAGGAAGGCCTTAACCCAGCAAAAACATATCAAATGGGATTGTCAGGTTCCACGACAAAAGCTCCAGTGATCGCCAAAAAAACTATATCGAAGCTTACTGATAGTAAGGTAAGAGCTACTGCGGTTGCTGCTGGGGCACGCATTGCTTTTCCTTCAGATGCTGCATCACTTCTCAAGGCTGCTCAGGCAAAGAATGCTGTCCATATCATGCCTACAGTTTGTTCTTCTACCCAATCGGTTAAACCTGGTGGCATGTCTACCCACTCAGAACTTCCTCCTAATGTACATATACTGCGTAGCAGCTCGGTTGCTACGCCACTTTCGACCCCTTCATCCACTGCTGCCACACCTAGCACCACACGCCCTCGGTCTTCAAAAGTTCTTCCTCAGGCAAGTCAGCACACTCCAACAAAAGACGCAATGTTATCCAGACAGACCAATGGCGTTAGCTGTAACCTGGATGCTGAGCAGGTCCAAGATGGAGCAGTTATCTTTAGGGATGGACCGAATGACCAAGTTCAAAAGGATAAAAGGGATTCACCTGACCAGAAAGCTGAGTCAAAAAATTTATCAACTAATGCTGAAAAACCCGTTGATACTCCGAAGATTGAAAGTGATGAGACCGGTAGTAAAGCTGTCACGGGTGTACAAGCCAAAGAGGGAAAAAGTGCAAAAGATAATGAGATTCCGCGTTCATCTGTTAATGTAGGAGCCAGTGACCCATCTGCAGTTGACGGTTGTGAAAACCGAAGCGCAAGTGAGAAGCAGACAGATCTTGCCATTGAAACAGATGGATGCAAGGGAAAACAGGTCGTACGCAAAGGGGAGGGTGACATTAACATCTAGGGGGAGAAGAAGATTAGAGTATCTTGTAAAGATTGTGATGTAAATTTCGATCTAATGAATGCTTTGGAACTTAGACTATGGTTGGATGGATGGTTTTTGTCAATGATGTAAATTCGTGTCAATTTTGGATGGTGATGGTGTGTTCCTGCATTGCATTACACTATTCAAGTTGAGCTCCATGTTGAATTTGAGCAGTCACTCATCGTCGTTTTGGTTTTCGGGTTGTTTTAATGCAATCTGTTTTTCTATTAACAGGTTTACATGAAACGACCTGTTAAGCTAGCATGTGGGAAAATCGAAACTGGAACACAACCGCCCAATACCATGATATTGACACGAATCGCCAAGATACCTCCCGGTCAAATTTTGGGTATTGTTTCCTTTCGCCAGTATAACACTCCGATGGAACCCATTCCTGGCGTGAAGGTATTTTTCAAGAAGCCTAGGAGGCAAAAACAAAAGAGGAATCCTTGAAGAGAGAGGAATGTTGTCCACGAAGAGAAAAATTATACACAAATTTGTAATAATTTAAAACTAATTTAATCGGGAAACCTACATATTACAGGCAACAAGAACCAAGAAAGATTAGGGAAGATTAAGATATATATATATATATATATATATTTATGAATTTAGAGAATTGAAAGCGCTACTTTGATCAATTGTAGTGAGACAGCTGAGAGTAATATCTGTTGAAAGAAGATATTAGCTTTGTTCTTCAAGTGATCCAACATGTTTGCTTGTCTACTGTTTACATGTCAAGTAAATCACTTGGATGGTAATTTAGTTGAAGAAATTGAGTCATCCCCTAGACACAAACTTCCCAAGTCCAACGAGTTCGTCGCTACTCCTAATTCCGAAAAGCAAAGAAATCTCTTGAGCATCATGATGAAGACGACGAAAAAGATGAAGAATGTTGGGTTACTCTCCATATTTCTGCTTGATTTTAAGGTGGAACCTCAAATTTCTCTAAGGAAGACGAAGAAGTTGAGCTTCCGACAATCTTCAAGCCCTCATCCTGCCCATCCTCCCAAAAACGATGTAAGAACTGACGATGATATTGTTCAAGTTTCAAACGAATTATTCGATCATGACGACAATCTCGCTGCCGAGTCTTTTGCTTTCAACCGTGACATAGACGTTAATCAAAGTCCCAGGCTAGACGTTGATGTTGATGTTGATGAAGATGAATATTTTGAGTTTCCTATACTGATTAACAATCCCACGTCCAATCCAACGGACGACCCCTTTCAAAAAGAGTACTCTTCAGGAGGTGATCAACACTCCACTGATAATCATTCTTTTATACAAACAATATTGGGACAACATTTGTTGAAGTCGTTGAGTTTCCGACATCGATCAATCCCCCAACGACACACCTTCCCGGAAACAGAGAAGAACTTTGCTCAAAGACGAATCATCAAGATGAAGGAGAAGAAATCGATGGATAAACCAGATTGCTTTTTAATTCTTCGTTACTTGTTAGGCACCATCCCCATTGTGGTTTAACTTTGGGTTCTGTATTTCTCTGTGTTTTATGGCATTCAATTACTCAACACGTAAACAATAAAGGATTGCAAAGTATAGTTAGCCCTAAACCAATTCCAAATTCTCTGTTTCAAATCAGCGGTAGCCAGAAATTAATTCTGAATCCAGACTCAACTGCGAGAATAACATCGATCGAAATTTAAATATATGCATTCACAATGGAAGAGATGAAACAACTAAACAATAAAGGATAGCGGAATATGAGAGTATAGACAGAAGCAAAAGTGATAAATAACTTCCCAATACAATGTCACAGCAGATTTGAGAGTATAGACAGAACCTGTGTTATTTGAATTTGGTAACAAAACTTTCAACTTCCAATGTGCAAAACATTGTTACAACCAACCATGTGACAACAAAACGGGTGGAAAAAAGAGAGGAAAATATAGACTAACCAAAATCTTTAGGAGGAACGATCAAAGAAGTAGATCGCTGGAATGTGAATTCAAGGAACTATGAGGAAGCTCCCAAATTACTCCACATGCTAAATATCTAATCCGGCTTAGTACAACCTCGACTAAGCACCGTCACTCCTGTTGTTCCTAAATGCAGAGCACCCGTCACAGGAACCAACGTGGAAATTAACAAGTTCAATGGGCATCTCCTTCTAGTTCCTGCATGACTTGCTTATGGAGACATGCCAAATCACAACGCAAGAACAGCTTCTTTGTTTCCTTTTTTGCTCTGACCACTTTTATCCCCTCCCTTTATCATTCTGGAGAGGATATCTGCTTGTTTCGTGTTACCCTCTTGATTTAGGCTCTTAATCAAATCCTTGGTGCTACTCCAGTCGGAGAGCCCTCCTTTCTCCATTATTTTACACAATATTGAGTATGCATTAAGAGTCTTCCCTGCTTCTAAGAGAGCATCCAACACCTTGTCATAGCTTGAGAAATCCACATTGCAATCTCTCTCAAGGCAAAAATCTAACAGCTTGAGGGCTGCAATTGTTTTCCCTTTCTCAGCAAGAACAGATAAAAGGCTATCAAACTGTGGCGTACACCCGCTTTGCATAAGTAGATCGATTCGTCCCAGTGCTTCCTCAACATGACCTCTCATAAAGAGGGTTTCCAAAATCTTGGCAACCAAATCCATGTTCTCCTTCACCCCCTTCTCTACCATACTTTTCATTACTCGGCTTGCAGTTTGAACCCTCCCGTCTTCAAATAGACTCTCCATCACTGACCCGAACAGTGATGCCTCTGGAATATGCCCGCCTTCAAGCATACTGTCCAAAGCTGTTTTAGCATCAGCCGGTTCACCTTTACTCAAGTAGCTGTTAATGAGTAACCTGTAAGAATCTGCTTCTCCAGGGACCCCTCTCCTACCCATGATCCTTAAAATCTCAAAAGCAGAATCAGAATTTCCTTCTTTCGCATGTCCGCACATCAAATTATTGAAGGCAACTGAATCTTGAACACCCTTTTTCATCAACTGCCGGAAAAAAACTTCAGCTTTCTCAGTCTGCCCATGGTTACACAAATACTCAATCATTGGGTTATAAGCACTAGCCTCCAACTCGATAGAACTCTGGGGCCTCAAAATAATTTCTTTCTCAATAAGCTTATCCAGCAGCTTGATTGCTCGATCATAAACCCCGGCCTTGCAAAAGTTCTCAATCAGGATACCATAATGACCAGGCTCAGTGGGAATGCTCAGCCGAATCATTGCCTTGAGGACATCAGCAGCTGCATCCAAATCCCCAGACTTGCACATCAAATATAGCAATTTCTCAAAGATTGAATTATCCTTGGGAGCAATATACCTCTGAACCATCTCCTTCAACATGTTCACAGCTTCATTCTTTTTCTCTGCCTCACAAAGCCCCGGCAATAGAGTCGAAAATGTGACAGCATTCGGTTTAATACCAAAAGACTTCATCTCTTGAAACAACCTCAATGCATCATCAACTCTCCCAACATCAACATACCCTTTAATCATGGTAGTATAGCATATCACATTAGGTTCTAAATTCCTCCCCTTCAACTCCACAAACAACTGCTCTGCCTCATCCATCATCTTAAACCGATTGTACCCATGAATCATAGTGTTATAAGTAACGAGATCAGGCAAAATTCCTCTACTTTTCATATCCTCGTAAAACCGCTTGGCGGTCTCTAATCTCTTGCTCATGAAGAAACCCCAAATCATAACATTATAAGTATGCCTATTTGGCTCTATTCCCTCACTCAGCATTGCATTAAAGTACCTCTTGGCCATCATATACCGGCCACGGCGCATAATGGCCTTAAAGAGAGCCTCATATGATTTGAGACTTCTCTGCACACCCAATTCCTTCATACTATCAAACAATTTAACAGACTCTTGAATAATGCCAGCCTTACCGTATCCGGCCTTGCCGTAGCCATCAATGAGCGCAAGGAAGAGGTCCTCATCGAGCTGCTCGCCTTTTTTCGGCATGTCCAGAAGGATACACCGGGCATGGTTGAGCTTCAAATTCCGGCCCAGAATCTCAATAATCTTCAAATGGGTCTCCCGGTCGTGCTTGAAAAACCCGGACCGCTCGACCCACCTGAAGAATTGGAGGGCGTGCTCCCAGTTCCGAGCGCCGTGCAAGACGTTCCACACTAGGTTGTGGTCGAATTCGGGTACCAAGTTCCGGATCGAGTTCTGTAACCGGGTCGTCCAGGCCCGATTCGCCATCATTCTGCAGATTATGTCCTCTGTCTTCTCTGGGTTTCGAGGACGGTACTGCTTAGGTTTTGGGACATGGATTTGAGTTGGGGATGCGGCTTCGGTTGGTGCTGCAGCTTCGGTGGCGGCTACGGCTTCGGTTGCGGCAGCAGAGGTATCGGTGGCGGATTCGGTTGAGCTGAAGAGGCGGAGGTGCGTGAGGGCCTGAAGATTGGAGGGTCGAGGCCGCCATCGATAGGGTTTAGAGAGAGAAATATACGCCATGGATGGCATAGCAGAGGGTAGGCGTGTGTGAAATGAGAGCTGGGGGATTTGTAAGGGAGTGAGAGTGAGAGGCAATCACCGAGAAAGCGAGCACTGCGCAGTGCGTTCTGGCTTGTTAGGGTTTAAGCATCAGTCAAAGAAATGTGGGCTTTACGTTTGGGATCTTAGTCCAATTAGTCATGATTTTTTTTTTTTTCATATTTTTATAGAAAACTAATGAAAATGATTTGGAAATTTTGAGTTTTAATGATTTGGACAATATTTTTATAGAAAACTAATGAAAATGATTTGGAAATTTTGAGTTTTAATGATTTGGACAAAATAAAGGGTAAAGTGAATAGTATCATAATTAACTTTTTAGTGTAAAAATATGGTTTTTTGTTAAAGTAAACAGTACCGGATGCTTTTCGTTAAAGTTCCCTATTTTTATCTGGGTAAACTACATTCGGTCTCCTCAAGTTTTTGTCCACTTTCAAATCATACGTCTTTTAATTTTGCCTTCGGGTGAGGGCTCTCTATTGGGTTTCCGGTGATTCAATATTATATTACTTTTCTGTTGTCACTTTGGTGGCGGGTTTCTGCTTGGAGTGGTGCGATCTCCGTTGGGTGTGCGGTATTTCGGTTTTTTTGTAAAATGGATGATGTTGTTCACTCCTTCGCCTCCCGTTTTGGCTTGACGGAGGAGGAGGAATGTGAGGTGGTTGTTGGGGACGATTCCCATGTTCGAGTTGCAGATTTTTTATTGGTGGGTAAGCTTCTAGCCCACAAGAGTTATAACTGGGAGGCTTTCATGTCATTTTCCAGAAATCTTTGGCGTCCTAGAACCTGTGTTTCTATACGATTGTTTGGGAGAGTTTTTGCGTGTCGGAGTTGCTATAGATGTATTCCATCCATTGCGCAGACTTCTTAAAGTTCGTCTTCCGAATAGGTCGCGTGTGGATGTGGATTTATTATATGAAAAGCTCCCTGCTTATTGCTTCCTCTGTGGGTGTTTTGATCATGTTGGTCTAGGATGCCATTTGTATTTTGGGGGTGTTATTGAAGCAGGATAAGGCACTGTATGGATCCTGGCTGCAGGCGGAGATCAAGCGTGCTAACAGACCCAACCTCCGCGGTTGGTGGTTTGGTTTGGGTAAGGATGATGCCTTTGTGGATTTGGATGCTGAGCAACCGCACCAGAGTGGGAAGGACTTCCGCTATGGGGGATCTTGATATGGAATGTTCTGGTATCCCAATATCATCCCCAGATTTTCGGGATTTGCAATCAAGTCAGGAGACTTTAGTGGGGCGTGATCCCTGCGTTGACCCGCCCCCAATTACTTCGGAGCCAATTATTGCTTTAAATTCCCACGTAGGTGACGTTACCGAGACTATCACCCCCGGGGTCCCCCTCCCCTCTGAGCACATGGTGAATGTAAACGGGAATGAGACTCTCAATCTGGCAGATTTACATGGCCCAATTAATTGTAACCCATCTGAGTATGGGTCTGACTTACCAAATGGGCCTCCTAGCCCCAATAGTTTGGACCCGTTCAATCTGAGTCCCATCATCCGACAAATATGCAGTCCTCCCGAAGGTGCTTCGTCTTGATCATTGAGTCGCATTAGACAGCAAGGCAACAACCCGGTAGTTCAAGCGCTAGAAATTTTGGTTTCTCAGCATGTTCCCCAGGTTCTCTTTCTTTCAAAAACCAAGTGTGATTGGAAGAGAGTTGATTACATTCAACTGGTTTTTATGGATATGCTGCCACTTCTGAGCGTTCGAATTCTTGAGACCTAATTCGTCAGCTTTATGATACTAGCACTCTCCCTTAGATGATATTTGGAGACTTCAATGAGGTCTTTTTGGCCTCGGAAAAAACTAGTGGGAGGGTTTGTAGTCTTTCTCAGATGCAAGGCTTTCGAGATGTGGTGGGTTCGTGTAATTTGGGTAACTTGGGTTTTCATGGGGACATTTTCACTTGGGCTAATTCGGTGATGAAATGCCGACTGGATAGGTGTTTAGCCAATCTAGGATGGCGTGCATTATTTAGACGCTCCCAAGTCATTCATTTCCCTCCCCTTTCCTCGGATCACGTTTCGATTCTACTGCAAGTTCAGAGCTCCTCAGTGCAAAGCCTTCAACGGCATAGACAATTTCGATTTAAGGAATCTTGGCTTCAGAGAGAGGACTATGCACAAGTGGTTGCGGCTGGTTGGGCTAAGGATGTCTTTGGAACACCCTCGTATCGGGTTTATGAGAAAATTAAGGCAACCCGTGTTAAGCTACTGAAATGGAAGCGTTCTCTGAGTTCTGTTCAGCAGGAGATCAAGGTGGTTCGTGATCAAATGCAAATTTTATTTCAACATCCCTCCGATGGGGTGGAATGGGAGATTGGTAGTTCTTTTTATAGCAAGTTGAATTCTCTTCTTACTCAAGAAGAAGCACATTGGAAGCAGCTGTCGAAGACTACTCGGCAAAACGGCATAAGGGGTTTGTTTGATGAATCGAATAACTGGTGTAATGTTCTTTACAAGATTGGGGCTAAAGTCATTGTTAATCGGTTAAAGGGGATGATGGATGAAATTATTTCGATGCAGCAATGTGCTTTTGTCCCAGGGGGCTTAATTTCTGATAATTCCCTTGTTGCATCTGAGGTGGGCCATTATCTTCATAATCTTCGAAGGGGCAAACGGGGCTTCCTAGCTTTGAAGCTTGATATGAGTAAGGCATATGACCGTGTGGAGTGGTATTTTCTTAAACAAATTATGCTGCAACTCGGTTTTGATCCTCGCTGGACAGATTTGGTGATGAGTTGCGTTAGCTCTGTTACGTACTCTTTCGTGGTTAATGGCGAGGTTACAGGGTACATTGCTCCCACCCGTGGCCTCAAGCAAGGGGATCCCCTCTCCCCTTATTTATTTCTTATTTGTGTTGAGGGTCTTACCAGTTTGATTGCTCGTTATGAACAACTTGGTCTCATTCATGGAGTTTCTATATGTCGTGGAGCGCCTAGTATAACACATCTACTATTTGCAGATGACAATTTCTTGTTTATGAAAGCTTCTTTTAAGGAATGTTGGTATCTTAAGCAAATATTGCATTATTATGAGGTGGCGTTCGGATAGTGTATAAACTTTAAGAAGTGTGCGGTCTAGTTTTCGCCTAATATTAGGCGGGACATCCAGGATCAATTGGCTGCTTACTTAGGTGTTACACGGGTGGATGTACAGGACCAGTATCTCGTTCTGCCTATCATTTTTAGGAGGAACCGCTCTGAAAAGTTTGCTTTTATCAAGGACCGTCTATGGAAAAAATTGAAAGGTTGGAAAGAAAAGTTGCTTAATGCAGCCGAGAAGGAGATTCTTATCAAGGTTGTTGGTCAGTCTCTTCCTATTTACACAATGAACTGCTTTCTTCTATTGAAGTCCTTCTGTGAGGATTTACAGCATTTACTTTGTCATGGGAAAATATGTGCCGTCCCAAGGAGGTGGGTGGTCTTGGCTTTTAGTTGTTGTATGACTTCAATCTTGTGCTTTTTGCAAAACAAGGGTGGCGATTGGTTCAAAATCCTGATTCTTTGGCGTCTTGGCTATTAAAGACCCAAATATTTTCCTTATAACACTTTCTGGCAGGCATCACTATCCTCTCCGTCAGTGTGTTGGAAGGGCATTTTGGAAGCGAGATCAATCCTGGAAAATGGGTCCTGCTAGCGGGTGGGGAATAGAAGCTCAATTAGGATATGGCATGATCTGTGGCTTGATCGTCCGCATCTCTTTGGACCTCTTATGCCTCCTTCTCCGATTGTTGGGGTGGAGTATATGGCTGAATTGATTGTTCCGGAGAAGACGTCTTGGAACATCAACTTGGTCAAGGATTTATTTCCTCCTGATGAGGCTGCACTAATTCTTGTTACTCCGTTAAGCTGCAGGCTTCCGCCTGGTAAGTTAATATGGCATTATGATGCGAAAGGTTTGTTCTATGTAAAGAGTGCTTATAAAATTGTTTTCAATTGTTGCTTTGAGGCTTCTTCTTCGCAATCGTATTCGAGGGGAGCTTCGGTGTGGAAAGCTATATGGAGGGTGGCTATACTGGGTAGAGTAAAGATGTGTATTTAGAGAGCTTATCGTGATATTTTGCCTACTCGTGCTAACCTGGAATCCAAGGGAGTGGTTGTGGACAACATATGTTTGTTTTGTAGTTCCTCTTCGGAGTTGGCGCTACATGTGTTTAAAGATTGTTCATTCACTCGTGAAGTATATGCTTCCTCTCATTTGAGTTTGGGGTTAAGGTCCTCGGGTTAAATTTCAATGTGTGATTGGTTGTCACTATGTGTGGAACGTTTATCCAAGCCAAGTGGATTTATTGTTCATCACTCTCCAAGGAATTTGGCGTGCTAGGAACTTGTTGTTGTGGGATGACAAAGTGAGCAATCCGGCTTTGGTTTCTCATCTTGGTAAGTTGCAACTGGCAAAGTTTGCGAAAACCAAACCCAGTTCCACTTCACGCCATCTTCAGGCGTCATCGCGTTGGATTCCCCCCTAGCTGGGTGGATGAAAGTTAATGTTGATGGCTCTTTTCTTGTTGGATCCAATATAGGAGGTGTAGGTGCGGTATTTCGCAACAAAGTCGACAGCTATGCTGGAGGTTTTGTTTGTAAAATATCCCCTCTGTGGATCGGAATTTGCCTCGAATTGTTGTGGAGTGTGATTCTTTGCAGGTGGTGCAAGCTATTGGTAAGCGAGGCCAGGGGTCTTCACTTATGGAGCTTCTGGTGGAAGATATTCATGCCCTTTTGCGGGTCTTTGTGGACTCGAGTGTTTGTTATATGCGTCGCACTGCTAATGTTACAGCATATAGTATGGCCAAGTTGGCTATTTCTTCTTCTATTGATTTTTGTTGGTATGAGGAGCCTCTGAACTCGATTGTGGAGGCCCTCTCTGATGTTGCTTAAACTTTGTTCACTCAATAAAATGCTATCGTTTCTATTCCAAAAAAATATATATCATACGTCTTTTAATTTTATTAATTTCATACAATGGCTCACGATTCCTTACCAATATCGTACAATTGGTAGAAAATATGTTAATTTAACTGTTAAATGATGATGTGACAAATGTAAACATATTTGATATTTTTGTTAAAGTGGCAATCCGTTGTACCATGTACATAAAAA